CTTCTTCCCAGGAGTCTTGGCAAATGCTTAAATTGCATATCAACCTTACTTTTGTTGTGAAGTGTTTAGAAACACGTTAATGGGCTGGGTTTCGGATCCTTAGCTTGGAGGTAACAGCTCTCTCCCCTAGTGGTTAAGTAAAGCAAGTCAGAACGTTACAGATTTGGATTCAGAAGAACAGTAGCTTTGTCTAGATATGCATCAGCTCGATTCTCATTCTTTCGTTATTCCAGCCAGTGCCCTTTAGGGAAAACGCTACCCCGGCTGGCCTCTCCACGCAGAGCTGTGGTTCTGAACCCGGACAGAGCATTGGAAACATCTGGGGTGCTTTAAAAATATAGATGTCCACGTAGAGCCCAGGACCCCACCTTAGTCCAGCTGAATCGGAGTCTCTGCAGTAGCGCATGGCCGTTGGTAGCATTTTAAAGTTCCCAGCGGACTCTGAAGTGCAGGCAGGGTCGAGCAGCCCTGCTTAAGGGGACAGGGAGGCCTGCAATCAGTCTTTCCTTGTCTACATTTTTTGGTTTATAGATTCTTAGAGAAGTCGGGGAGACAGAGAGAAGCGTGGATTTGTTGTTTCACTTATTTATTCATTCATTCATTGGTTGATTCTTGTATGTGCCCTGACCAGGGGTTGAACCTGCAACCTTGGTGTATCAAGTCGATGCTCTGAGTCACCTGGTTCAGGCCTATAAAAAGCACTTTCAATGGGCTTTTCACTTGAGGAGAGGGAACCCTGAGCTGGCGGCCCCAAACCCCAGTGTCTGAAAGAGAAGCATGTCTTCCGGGAAGGGACAGCAGGGGCCTGTGTGACAGGTGCAGCTGACGATGGCCCCCTCAGAGACGGAGGGTGGACCCAGAGGTGTGCGGGGTGGGGGGTTGGGAGGGCCGCTCCTGCCTGAGGCCCTGCCCTACTGGGTTCACATATGTGGTTCGAGGGTTTCCAGAAGCCTCTGAACTATATGCAAAATTTTTCTGTCCTCCTGGTTATTTGTCTAAGGAGCTCAGAAGCTCTGTCACACACCCCTCACTGCCCCCCAAAATGATGAATAACCTCTGCTTTTATCATGGTCTTCCGCATGGTGGTATTTTCATAATGCAGTTACTAAAAATAAAGTAAGATGCCTTCATATGTACATTCACCTGGAGGGACTGAATACATTCATTATTAATGACACAAAAGCAAGTCTCAGAGTGATGCCCACAGAATAAATAGTCTGGAAACACCCGCAAGAGCAGGGATGGTGTTTTAATTTTTTTTTTAAGAGATAGGGGAAGGGTGGAGGAAAGCAAAGGAAACATCCCAGTGAGAGAGAAACGCCATTTGGCTGCCTCCAGCCCGCGCCCCAACCAGGGACCAAACCCGCGACCCAGGCATGTGCTCTGACTAGGAACCGAAGCAGTGACCTTTTGCTCTGTGGGATAACGACACCCAACCAACTGAGCCCCATCAGTCAGGGCAGGAATGGTCTGTTCTGTTCACGGCGACATTCTACTACTTGGAAACAGTGCCCGGCGCAGAGAAGGTGCTTAATACACACTTCCTGAATTAATGAATACCTTTTTGAAAAAGCTGAATCCACTATAGATGTGGATGATGTCTATGTGAAGAAGGACAAGGGTGTAGAATGATACATACCGGGACATTAAAGGTGCTGACTCCAGGGAGAAGGGTCCGGAAGGGGGATGGGGGAGACAGTAAAACTTCCCTTTAATAAGAGCGATCAGTTACGGAGTGCCAGCTAGGTGTGAGGCACCGCGTCCAGCACTGACTGTGGATTCCTTCCTTGGATCCACACAGCAATCCCTGACAGTGATCCCCATTTTACAGATGAGAAAACCTAAGTACACAGGCTCTTGTGCGAGCCCGCAAAGCCAGGAGCTGGGCGCTGCCCCCCACAGCCTTGCTGATCCCTTGTCCGTATACATCCCTGGGTTATGTCACACATTGTAACAATCAGATGCTACATTTTCCATGAAATGTAACAGTGTCAGGGCTTTCCATGTGGGCACTCATCTCCTCCCACCTCTGTGACCCTCCTAGTCTGCAGGTGCCACCTTAAGTCCTTTATTCTCAGTAGGGACTTAGGAATCAATATTCTATGCGTGGATCCCAGTTTTGGTTCAATATAGAGTTGACCCTTGAACAAAGCGGGTGCTGGGTGCCCCACACTTTGGAGAACCCACACTTTGGTGTAACAAGTCAGCCCTTTACATCTGTGGATTCCTAACTGCAGAATGAAAATACAGTTGAACCTTGATCAACACAGGTTTGAATGGCATAGGTTCACGTACATGCAATTTTTTTCAATAAATACTAATTGAGTAAAGTATAAATAATAAATGCCTACTGAAATTAGTAAGTATTTATTGAATAAATAAGGTTCAACTGCAGTTTCCACTGCTTGCCCTCCACCATTTACAGATGCAATGAAACCACTGTCTTCCATCTTGACGTAAAATCTTGGGGAGAGCAGGGTGCTTGGACAGCAGCGACACAGGCTGCATCAGATAGAAGCGTCATATCTTCCTGGGGCAGGCACCCCTAACTGGCTGCAGACTCTGGGGTGACAGGCCCAGAGAAAGCTTAGCACCAACCTGCCTGGAGGGGTCTCGGAGCACAGAACATCTGTGGTCCTAATGATGAGAAAGACTGAGCTCATCAGAGAGATGCAAATTAAAACCACAATGAGATACCACTTTACACCGGTCAGAATGGCTATCATAAACAAAGCAACAAACAACAAATGTTGGAGAGGTTGTGGGGAAAAGGGGTCCTTAGTTCACTGTTGGTGGGATTGCAGACTGGTACAACCATTATGGAGAACAGTATGGAATTTTCTCAGAAAAATAAAAATCGACCTGCCTTTTGACCCAGCAATTCCACTGCTAGGATTATATCCCAAGAATCCTAAAACATCAATTTCAAAGAACCTTTGCACCACAATGTTCATAGCAGCACAATTTACAATAGCCAAGAGTTGGAAGCAACCTAGGTGCCCGTCAGTAAATGAATGGATCCAAAAATTGTGGTACATATACACAATGGAATTCTATGCTGCAGAGAGAAAGAAGGAGCTACTACCCTTTGCAACAACATGGATGGAACTGGAAAGCATTATGCTGAGTGAAATAGGCCAGGCATTGAAGGACAAATACCATATGATCTCACCTTTAACAGGAAGCTAAATAACAAAATAAACAAGCAAATAGAATAAAAACAAAGACACTAAAATAGAGAACAAGTGGGCAGCGACCAGAGGGGAGAGGGAAGGGAATTTAAGGGGAAAAACGAGGGAGGGATTTTGAAGAACAAGTATGAAAGACACAGGGATGAGGTCTGTGTGGAGGGGGGAGGGGAGGGAGGTGGGGAGACGGGGCGGAGGGGGGTTGGGATGGGAGAAATTGACAAAAAAAAACTGTACTTGAAAAATAACTCAATAAATTAAAAAAAAAAAAAGAAAGACTGAGCTCCTGCAGAGGAAGCTGTGCATGCCAGGGTTTCTCAGTCGTGGCCTGACTTCTTGGGAGACCCGAAGCCAAGATTCTAGCCTAGATCTAAACAGATGAGAGCTTCTAATCGCCCTGGAGCTGGACTCCTCCACGTATGACGTCAGATCCTCAAGGCCAGCACCACCTTGGTGCTTGAAGAAATGCAGGGCCTTTGATCTTAGGAGCTAACAAGGCCAAAGATAATCCTTCTCTACCAGCTTGAGGCATAGAGTGGGTTGTTTATGTTTTAAGCCTCAGTCCCCGGCCCTGTAAATTGATGAGGATAATACGGACTTGACAGGGTAGGTTCTAATGAATATTAGGAGTAATATCAGGGAAGCGCTTGCCGTGAACAGGACACAGGAGACAATCACCATTACTTCTAGGACTCTAACCATGTTGCTGTGGGCAGCTTCGAAAATGACTCCCAAAGAGCCCTTATCTCCCGGTATTCCTGCCCTTGTATAATCCCCTCCCCTTGAGTGTGAGCTGGACCAAGTAAATTGCTTCTGATGAATAAAAGGGACAGGGTGTCATTTGTGAGTTTAGCTTATAAAAAGTCTGTGGCTTCCTTCTTGCTCATCCTGTTTTGTTCTCTCACTTGCCCACTCTGGTGGAAGTCGCCTGCCATGTTGTGACTTGCCTGACAGCGAAGCCTGTGTGGTGAAGAACCAAGGAAGGCCCGCCGGCCAGCACCCGGGAGGGCACTCAGGCCCCCAGCCTAACAGCCTGTGAGAAACTGAGTTCTGCCAACAACCCCGAGTGAGCTGGAAAACAAACCCTCCCCCACTGGAGCCTCAGCCGAAACCTTGACAGCAGCCTGTCAGAGAACTTTGGCCAGAGGTCCCCAGCAAAGAAAGGCACGCCTGAATTCCTGACTCGTGGGAACTAAGAGATACTATGTTCACCGTTTCAAGTCACTGAATTTTAGGGTGGTTTGTTATGCAGCAGTGGATAACTAATATACCCTGTAAACAGTAGATTAAACTCAAGTAGAAGGGCACGTGGAGTCTCTACTTACACGCCGGATGGTCTCGGAAGCCTTTGAAAATCCTCCTCTCTGAGGGTTCTGAGGCCCCTAGTTTCTCCTGCTTCTCCGTTAGGCTGTAAACTACTTGATTAATATCATGAAAGCTTATACCATGAGTACTTGTTATTATGCCAAAGTTGTAAGTCACTTAATCTTTACAACAAACCTAGAGAGTAAATACTATTATTACACGTGTCTTGTAGATGAAGAAAATGACGCTCAGAGGGGTGAGGCTGCCCAAGGCTTCAGGAATTATGAGAAACATGCCAGGAAACGTGCTTCCGAAGTTTACATTTGAAACAATTATGCTGTGTGACTCTAAGAGTCTTGCTCAAGTTCATAAACATCAGGTAGATTCAAACCTGGGTAGCTGAACACCAGATGTGAAGGTTTTAAACATTACCCTCTCTGGCACCTTCTACCCCTAGGATAATAAGTTGAACACACCTCACCTGGGGCGTCAGCAGGGTCTACCTACCTGTAAACACTAGGCTAGCATTTTCCAGTTCTTCTTGGGGAACTTTGAAGCTGAAGGATTCATTATAGAATGGATCAATTGTGCCTCTTAAGAAGGATGTCTTCTTTGTTTTCACAAGCTTGAGTCCATGTACCAGCTGGATTTTCACAAAGGGGTCTGAGAATTGGATACAATGTCACAGAATGTTACAGATCAGGAAACCCATCCATCCCTCCATTCAACTTTTCATCTATTCTTCCTTCCTTCCTTCCTTCCTTCCTTCCTTCCTTCCTTCCTTCCTTCCTTCCATCTATCATCTTCCCAGCTACCTGCCAGCCCAACTACCTACCCACCCTTTCAGCTATTTTCCTTCAATCCACCCATTTTCCCATCCACACCTCCTCTCATCATCCATTTCCCCTCTATCTATTTTTCATTCCCCCTTTTCCCTTCCTCTCCTCCTCCAGCCACCCTGTATTTACTGAGCTCCTCTCATGTGTGAGGCATTTTACAGGTAAAGAAACAGAAGACTCAAGGTGAGAAATGATTGGCTTGCGATCTGGCTAGTGGAGAAAGTGCCAGATCTAGGGCCTGGTCTGGCTTTTTTTCCTGGACACCCATCATCATGCCATTAAGCCCAGAGCCCACAGACAGAGTAGAGATGGCAGAGTTATAACTACCATTTTTTTTATCACTTTATAGCTTACAAAGAGATTCATGTACATTATCCAACTGAAGGTTGTTTAAACAGCCCAATGAGATGAATACTGTTACGATGTCAGTTTTTCAGATGGAGACACTGAGGCTTTTAGAGGTTAAGTAACTTCCCCAAGGCACATTATTTGCAAGCAATAGAGAATGGGACTCGGTTGGAGGTAGCTGGACTCCGACACCCTTAAATCATTCCTCACACTGACTCTCCCGCTGCGGTGCGTCCGAAACTCTCCGGCCTCCACACCGTTCCTTCCACGGGCCCCTGCGAAACCTGGTTTTTGTAAAGTGGTTTCGGGGAATGCAAGCTGTCTTCTAAATTCAGCTGTCACCTTAGAGCAAAAGTAATTTATTTTAGCCACTGCTCTTAGAGAAGACAGTATTTCTGCCACTGAGCTGAAGAGATCCCAGCCACCATGGCTGCTTTCATGATAATATCCTTGCTGTCTTGAGAGAAGCTACTTACAGATGGAATGTAATCTGTTCCTGTTCATTAAAAGTCATATTTGAATTTGGTTTGCTATAAAATAGATACTTTAAATATAACAGTCTTTTCAGAGCTGGGATTTATAAAGATTTATGGTACACTTGAAATGAGTTGGGGAAAAGCCTTAGGGTGCATACACCACTCTCACAGATTTAGGATTCATGGACAATGCACACTAATGCCTCCTGGAGGACAGTGTCTCTATTGCAGGCATAGCAACTGGAAAGGCAAGCCACTTCCTCTGGGCTGCCTGTGTACAAAGAGGATCTAGATTTCAGTAGTTATCACACCCGGTCTCAGTCAAATCCCCAGTTCAAATGGGGTTATGTCTGAGGTGGCATCATTTACCTGCCTCATTTTAAAAGATATCTGATTATTTATTGTTCCTCTTGAAATAACATCTAGTTCTGTAACGGGGTGCAGAGTGAGGGGTCCTTAAAGTCCCCACGGCCCATGGCTGGGGGATGGGGGAAAGAGATGATACAGTATTTAAGATACTTTGTGTAACAAAACGGCAAGCTAACAGCTCTGCTACCGCCCAGTGAAAGTTGTCTGCGACTCTGAGAGCACTCAGGGACTTGTGACACAGCTAGGGGAGCTGAATGCCCTCCCCGGAAGCCCCTGTGTCACAGGAGCTCTTGCCCTGACTGAAGATGGCAGCCGAGAGAGGACAGAAGGGAAACTGGCAAATGTGGCACACTGTGGGAGAGCTGGATAGGAGGTCATGTAGGAAGCTCCTGGTCAGGATTTAAACTAAGAGTGGGCAGAGAGAGTAAGGCTGGTCCACCAGGAGAGCTGAGAGAGAAGGCAGCAGCTGCGCCAGGCTGTAGTGAAGAGGGCAGCCCTGTGAGAGATTCAGCCATGCTGCCCGTGGTGAGGGGGGAAGCAGCAGCGGAGAAGGAGAGCAGGGCCTGCTGCCGCTGACTGTGCCTGCTCTAGCCACCGAAGGCACCAAGGACCTGCTGCTTCACAGACCTGGACTCTCGGGACTCAGGACATACAGAAAGGCCACTTTTTTGGGACTTGTGCCTTCCTGGACTTCACCGTGACCCAGTGCAACACAGCACATGCTTTCCTGGACTATTACAGAAGGCTGAGGACAACGTACCCCAGATCCTGAAGGGGAGAGCTGCTGCGAGAGGATGGAGACTTTGAAACCCACCACTCACTCCAGAGGGGATGGAGACCTGTTTGCACAGCTGGCTTAAGAACAGATACGAACAGGGGAAACTACTGGGCTTGGCCTACAGCCTGGTGGGGAGCAAGGGAAGTGCTGGGAGAACACTCGTGGGAGAACAGGGCTCTGAGCAGGAGAGCTCCCAGCCCCGAGGTCTCACTCCTGCAAATAAGACCTGTTTCCTCCAACACTAACTGTTGGGTCATGTGTCAAGGCGCCAAGTGCACAGGCCCTGCTTTGCTGGGTTACACTTCTGGATACTGTCTATCTTCATAGGGTCTTATCTTTTTTGTCTGAATCCTTATCTGAGGATATGTTTATTGATTTTAGAGAGAGAGGAAGGGCGAGAAAAAGAAACATCCCTGTGAGAAACACTGACGGGTTGCCTCCCACGCACACCCCAACCAGATATCGAACCCACAACCTGGGATGTGCCCTGACAGGGAATTGAACCTGAAACCTTTTAGAGCCCGGGACAACACTCCAACCCACTGAGCCACCTGGCCAGGGCAGGTCTTATCTTATTAACAGTATCCAGGATGCAGAATAAAAAGAAAATCGGGTCCTTTGTGTGAAAAAGAAAAAACACATGCCTCTTGAAGAAATGGGGAAGGAGGGAGGGAGGCGCACCGCACCTGAACCTTGGCTCACATCTGTCTGAAGAAGTTGCTTGGCTCGAATGACGTCAACATTTAGTCTCCCCGCACTTGGGAGATAATTCAGTGACAGAAGCAGCTCCCCCAGCTCCACTTCATTCTGCAGAGAAAGGAAATAATTGAGAAGTTGCTTTTTTTTCTTTTATTTTGCACCTCACCTGCAGGAAATTGATCCCAGAAGCTCACAATCGGGCTTCTGTGGATGGATCAGTGGACAGAGGGTACCTCTTCCTTCCTTTGACTTCTTTTAGCCTCTGACCCAGGTTTTTTTTTTTTTTTTTCTCTCAGAAAGTTTTTCTGCTCTTAGAACTCCTAACAGCAGCAACAACATAGTGAGGACAAAGGTGTGAATAGTGATAATAATAAATAAATACCACAGGTCAATCAAGTATTGTGCTAGACACTTTACAGGAAATAACTGGTTCAATCTCTATAATGAGCCTGTGAGATATGAGTGTCATTCCCATTTAACAGGTGAGGACACAGGCTCAGACAGCTGGAAAGTGGTAGTGCCCACATTTGGACACAGGGAGACTTCATTCCAGGTATTCTGACCACTGTGGTTAATAATCTGGATTTTTAAAATTAGTGGAGATTCTCCTTACAAACAACATCACCGTCACTCATTTGCATTCTTGGTATTGTACGTTTGTTAACTGCTAAGTGGGGAAGACAATGCTGGCTTCCCCCTTAGGCAGAATCAGTATGTGCTCTGGCCCCCTAGAAGAAGGGAACACCCCTCCATTCAAATAAAAAAGAGAAATAGTATTTTTTTTGCAAGAATGGGATATTTGGTATTTCAGAAATATTACTGACATAATCATTGTGAGAACGTTAGACCATTGCTATGATTTACAACGGGCAATTATTATCTTGATCAATATGATGAGAAGCTCCGTGATCTTCAGGGCTTATGGCACCAACCTCACACCTTAACCCGGCCCCGGAGAAAGTGGAGGGGCCTCACATTCTCGGCCCCAGTATGTGTGACACATATGAACAATGGCAACCAGAAGGCATCAAAAACTGCAGCTCTAAACAACCAGGGGGCAAAACTGTTCCTGAAAGGTTCCTGAAGCCAGTACCTTCTTAGCCTCTCTCCCCTAGAAGATGCCACATTTAAATGCTGACCAGAAGCCAACTGGTAAGAAACTCAGGCTACGGGGAAAGCAGGACCAGCCATTTCCCAACCTGACTCCTCCCCTGAAGGACCAGGAAATTCATGGTGAACTTTGTGGACATTTATGAAGTATTGGCATATTACATTTATATCAACCTGGGGCAATTTTATCCCCCCACTCCCACTCCCCATCTCCAGGGACATTTGGCCATGTCAGGAGACATTTTTGGTTGTCACAAGTGGGAAGAGGGTTGTTTCTCATGCTCACTGGGTGGAGGCCAGGAATGCTACTAAGCATCTTGCAAAGTGCAGGGCACCCTGGCTCCCAACACAGAACGGCCTGGCCCCAAACTTCAGTAGTACTCAGGCTGAGAAATCTCAGTTAAACCTCTGACTCTTGGGCTGGTTGAGACTCTTATACATGATTCTAGTCTGAACAAGTGTTAAAAGCAACCAAGGGCTGAATTTTTCTCCAGACCAAAAAAACTCAGAGCACCAGCTACAAGCTAAAGACCAAGCTTCAGTTTCCATCCTTCCACTTCCTCCTAGAGCTTCCTTTGCTGCGAACAGACACCCAGGCACCGGGCAAAACTTTTCCCAGGAAGTAGGCTCAGCTGCCCCAAGGAGAACGGACTGCTCATTCTGAAAGCATCTCCAGCCCTCCCTCCCATCCAGATTTAGTCATGTAAGGTTGTCCTGTCAGACCTGCAATAATTTGGTCCAAAGTTCTAGGTTTAAAGAGGAAAACTGAACCAGGCCACTGTCTCACTTTCCTGCTAACACCTCCACTGATCTTAGAATGAAATCCAAAATCCTTAGCCTAGTCTGCAACAGTGCCATTTTGGGCTAAATCATTCATTTTTTTTTTGGGGGGGTGTCATTGTGCATTGTAGGATGTTCAACAGCAGCCCTGGTCTCTACCCCCTAGATGCCAAAAGCCTTCTATCCCCCAGTTGTGACAATCCAAAACGTCCTTAGACATCACCAAACGTCCCGAGGGAAAAATCACCCAACTGAGAACCACGGGGCTACCAGTATGGAAATAATTTGGCCTTGCCCACATCTCAGACCTCAACCAGCAGCCATAACAGTCTTCTTTCTACTTCTTGAAAAAAAAAAAAGACATCTGGCCTCAGGGCTGGCACCTGTGCTGTGCCTCCGCTTGGGAACCTGAAATGTCGCCTCCTCGTACAAGGTTTCCACCAGCACCCAGTGGAAAAAGAGTTCCCTGCCTCCATCGCTTTCCATCACACCGCCTTGTTTCATTTCTTTCCTGGCACGTTGTCCTTATCAGACATTTTTTCATTTTCTGTAAAGGCAGAGACAGCGTCCATCTCTCCACCACCACACTCACAGCACCTGGACAACTTCAGCAGACGACCGTGAGAACCAGCTGTGCAGCCCCAACACGGTGGCTCTGTGGCCACGTCACGGTCCCAGAGGAGTCACGGGCGTGATGTCTGTCACCTGCCCTATCCAACCTCCAGAGACAGGTGGGAGAGGCGGGAGAAGGGACTGGGGGCCACGCCTGCTTTTTTCCCTTCTCAAGGCAATGTCACAAATACACAGGCGTCGTTTCCTTTCTCAAGATCTTGATGAGCTTAATTTGGTTGAGCCACGCGGGGTAGCTTGGGAGAACTGAAATAGATTGTAAATTACTCAAATGAATCCAGAAGGCACCCTGCAAGCTCCTAGCAGCCGGCTGGTGCAAATGCTCCGCTCTCTTCCCAGACTAAAATGTTCCCTCCCTGCAGCCTTTGAACACAGCTAAGTTCTAATCAATAAAAAAGAAATCAAAGAAAACCATTTGGGACAAAAGGCACTTTCTGGGGAAAACAGCAGCCTGGCTCTCCTCCCGCCATACTTCCTTTGAAGTGCCTCTAAAGGGCTCTCCAGAGCGGAGGGTTTCAGGTGTGTGCGCACAACTTTTACCGATGTGGGAACACAGCTGCTCTGAGCTCCCGCCTTTGTTCCCAGGGTTGGAAGAAACAGTGTGTCTCCAGGTAGCGCACAAACAACACTAAAACAGGAATGCATTTGTAAAAAACAAGATCCAGTCACGATCCCAGCCCTTCACACCTTCCATCGAGTGCTCTCTTGCCTCCAGCCCAGCCCACTCAGGGTTTTCCCAGTCCTCGTCCACACGGCCGTCAAACCTGGCCGCACGGACAGCACAGGCCAATTCTGACATCTCCCCACCCCCTTTCAACTTAAACAGACGTGCACTTTCCATGGTACTGCCTAGACATGTGGAGTATAATTTTAATATCTACATAGAATATTTCCATTAGGCTGAAACTATAATTTAATACTTTCCTGTTGTTAGGTACTTAGGCTGTTTTTAATGAGCTAAAATAGGGCACTTTGATATCTAAATAAATAAATATATATATATACACACATTAGTATATATATTTAAGATTATATCATTTTAATAATACTCTGTGATCATCACTAGGTCAAAGAATATATTAAGACACATAAAAATACCCAGGTCTTTTTCTGCCACTCAGTATGAACCAACAGAGTATTGGCCAAAGGGCTGGACTAACTTGACAGCCACTAACGGAGGGAGAGGACAGGGCCAGCACCAGGTAGGTGTTAACACTCTGACAAATGGCCTCGATCAGTGTGGTTGTGAAAAAATTTTTTTTTGCATTTCTTTGAATATCTAGTCATGTATTGATTCAATCGCATTTCCTGTTTCGCGTGGAAACTTTGACTTTCTGATTTCCGGTGTGAGGTCAACCCCCCTCACCAATCGACACGCACCTGCTGTGGCCACAAGACTCACCTGGCACTGGCTTGTCGCTGTCTGCTGCTGTCCGGCTGTCTAATGATTTCTGCCCACTGGCTACCTTACTGTGACTTAGCTTGCATTTCCCTGACTGCTTAAAAGGTTGAGCATCTTCTCATGCTTATCAGCTATTCTCTATTTTAAAAATCCTGTTTGTTTCATATTGCCTATTTTTTCTATTGGATATTTGTCTTTTATTAATTTATAAAAAGGCTTATAAATATTATGAATACTACTAAATTATTCACCAGTTATGTATTGTTATGGGTTGAATTGTGTCTCACCAAAATCCATGTGTTTAAGCCCCAACCCCCAATATTGAGCTCAGAATGTGACCTCATTTGAAAAAAAGGTCCTTGCAGATGTTGAGGTCACACTGGAGGAGGGTGTGCCTCTAATCCAGGATGAGCAGGGTCTTTATACAAGGGGGGAACTTGGACACGGCTGTGCACACAGGGAGAAGGCCATGTGAAGACTGGAGTGATGCTGCCACAAGCCAGAGAACTGCCAGAAGCAGAGGGAGAAGCTGGAACAGATCCTTCCAAGAACCTCCATGGGGAGCGTGGCCCTGACGACCCCTGGATCTCGGACAGCTGGACAGTAAATTTCTGTTTAAGCTACTCAGTTTGTGGCCCTTTGTTACAACAGCCCTAGCAAACTAATATATGTATACAAACCTATTCTCCTAGTTTGTGGGCTGCCTTTTAACTTTTTTTTAAATTGTATTTTCTGATGAGCAGAATGCATAGTTTTATTGCAGAATGCATCCATCCATCCTCTCCCTCTATAGTACACGCTTTATGGCCTTTCTAGAAGTGCTTTGCTACATTACAGTCATAAAGACAGCTTCCTTTTTATCCTTCTAAAACTTAAAGTTTGGCCTTGTAAATGTAAGTCCTTAGACTGCCTGGACTTGATTTTGGTGTGTGGTGTGAGATAAGTCTCTGTTTCCATCTTTGAGGTCGTGATCTTCATTTCTCCTGTCTTTCTGCCCCAGGAGGCGGTACGCTCCTTGAGGGCAGTGATCTTACATGGCTTCCGTCTGTCTCCCCCAGTACAGAACGCAGCCCTGGGGAACGCTGGCCAAGAGAAACATTTGTCCACATCCTTCCTAAGAAGCTACACCTTCCAGGGAAGATGCGAGAGAAGCCTGATCTTTTGACGTCTGAGAGTTTATGTCTAG